CATCAAGCCGCCCTCTGGGGGATGAGAGGGACCCCAGCCACTGGCCTGGTCTCTCTGAGAGGTGCACCCCCTCCATGAGCCCAGTGGAGGGGAAGGGAGAATGAATGGCTACAGCGTCCAGGCAGCTCAATCACAGGAGCACGCCTGTGTTCCACCGGACCGTGAGGTCAGCTTACATTTCAGGGTGGGGGTAGGCTGGGGACAAATGAGCAGAAGAGGCTGTCTCAGCGAGTCCTTTCTACATGTTAGGGTCTTAAGTCCCCATTTTCAGATAAGAGGAGTGGGGCCCAGGATCAACCCAGGGGTGAAAAACAATCGGACTGCTCCCTTTCCTTCTGCACTTCCAGTCCCTGATGCGATCCTTTCCCCCAGTGGGACGCTCGCTGTGCTCTACTTGATCTGGGACCTCGGGCAGGGAAGACAGAAGCGCCCACAGCAGTGGCAGTCATGTGTGTGTCACGTGTGTTCTGTGCGCACCCCATGAGTGTTTCCCGCCTCAGAGTTACAGGAGCAATGGTCACTCATTTTTCTGTGGCCAAACTTGACCTCCTTCTTGAGCCCTCAATATCATTAGGTCCTGGATACTCAGTCTTATCACCTGAAACCACTTCTGGTTTTATGCTCAGGAGATTTGGGGTCACTTCCCAATTAGTTCAAGGTTCTATCCTCCCAGCTTTTCTCTGCATCTTGCAGGAAAAGAAACTAGTTCCAAGGAACCTCACATATCATCCAGGACTGCTTATCCTGAAGTATATATTCTTTGTGCCACAGAATGACCTGCCAGACAGCATAAGGGGAGCGGGGGCAGAGGTGCAACAATGTGACAGGGGTGATCCCAAACACTGAGGAAGGGGACTTCCAGAAGAGGTGGATTTGTGCTAAGTCTTACAGGATAAGTAAGAACTTTCCACAGGAACAAGAAAGGCGCTGCATCAGACAGCTCGTGCCAAGGCAGAGGTGCAATGATTGCTTCGCTTGCGGATCCTAGTTGGATTTATCAGAGGTTGTGTTGTAAGCAACTTGTTCACAGCTGGCATTCTCTGCTCCCCTCTCTGCCTTGCCAACCTGATTTCTGGTAACGCTTTATGAAAGACCTGCCACCTAAGTCATCAGCGCTCTTCTGATTGTGGATGACCGTTCCTTAGCTTGGATAAGATTAAGATAAAGAGAGTGTTTCCTTACTAAGGTGACTGGTAAGTCAAGAAGAGGTGTTGCAGGCACAGCTGGATTCAGGAACTCAAAACCTTTTTTGAAGACTTGGTCTCAGCTTGACCCTCATCTGTGGGGGCTTCAGTCCCAGCAGGGTCTCTCGTTCCAGTAGGCCACTCTCAGCCCCACAATTACCAAATTCTGGAAGATACTCTTGTTTCCCCATATTTCCCTTGAAGTCCCAGAGTTGAGTGTTACTGGCCTGAAATGGATCTCCTGCCCCACCCCTCAAACCAGTCACTGCTGACAGGAAGATGGAATATGCTAATTTACCAGTTACGGTAGGTCCATGTATTCATCTGGGAGCCTGCCCTCGGGGGAATCACATGGAGATGGTGACCCAAAGGAAAGCCAAGGTACTTCTAGCAGCCAAGGGGTCAGGAGAGGTGTGCAGGCCACACGGCAAGTATCCATTCTACATGCTTCCATTCAGACTTCCTCTATCTAGTGGAGACTGAGGTTTCCAGAAAGGTACTGGCTGTCATCCATGACACTCTGATTTTTCCTTCTGTCTCCCTTGTCACTCCATGAGCTCCTTTATGGGGGACAGGGGTCTTGGATTGCTCTTGGATGCCCTATCCAGAGCATACTGCAAGCACTTCCTGATAGTGTTAGATGATGGATGCCTGTCTAGACTCTTGAAGCCCCTTCCTCTGGCTAGGAACATTAGAATCTGTGAAATCTAAAGTTAGGAGCCATTCTGCAATATTTAAGTTCCAAGAAGAAAATGACCCGGCATCAATTGACAAATACTTAGGGCAGCTTCTCCTTATTTTTAGTTCAGATACTTATAGAAAAACATCTGAGTGCCCACACGCCCACCACCCCACAACTGGAACCACATAGCCCGATTCTGCCCAAATAAGGGTGGTGAAGCATTCCAGCTCCTGTTGAGGGCAGGCCCAACAGGTGTCCTGGACAGTACAGGAAGTCTGGACGTCAGGGATGGACTCTCAGTGAGTTGGATTCCAACTGAGATGGGGCAAGGCCATGCTGTACCCGCAGCTCTCTTGTAGGGAGCAATCCTGTTGCTGCCTTTCCCTGAGGGCTGCCCTCTCATGTCCCAGGGGAGGGGACCCTGGAAGCCTCAAGGTCTTAGGACCATTTACTCTTATAGGAGGCTTCTATCCTGTTTGGAAATCACTTGTGGAAGCAGGCTGTGCTCTACATGACTGGGGTAGGAGGGGCTGCAGAGAGGAGGGCTGGAGACAGGCTCTTTTTTTTTTTTTAATTGTAATTTTAAGAACCATTATTTTCTTGAGAAATTTATTTTTTATTGGTGTTAAATTTGTCAACATACAGAATAACACCCAGTGCTCATTCCAGTCAAGTGCCCCCCCTCAGTGCCCATCACCCAGTCACCCCCACCCCCCATCGTCCTCCCCTTCCACCACCCCTAGTTCGTTTCCCAGAGTTAGGAGTGTCTCATGGTCTGTCTCCCTTTCTGATATTTCCCACTTATTTTTTCTCCTTTCCCCTTTATTCCCATTCACTATTTTTTATATTCCCAAATGAATGAGACTATATAATGTTTGTCCTTCTCTGACTAACTTACTCCACTCAGCATAATACCCTCCAGTTCCATCCACATTGAAGCAAATGGTGGGTATTTGTCGTTTCTAATGGAGACAGGCTCTTTCGGGAGGGATAGATGTTCAAAGGGGGCATGCAGAGGACACAGGTACTCTAGCCTCAGATCCTGTACTTACAGGTGCCTTTGTGCACCTGAAGACAAGGCACCATCCCCAGACAGGTGTAGCCTAGGTGTCTCTCTGGGCACACGGGGAGACTATGAGGGTGGAGACCCAAGTAGAGGCAGCCCTCCGCTCTCTGTGCTGCAGCAGCCAGGGCTGGGCTCTGGGACCTCTGCTCCTGTCCCCAGTGCCTGGTTCAGTATGGGCACTTTGAGGAGTGCTGACAGTCAAGTTAGGTTTGGTCAGCACTGTGCCCACTCTCCCCTGAGTTGGAGAGTCTGTCCTCTGGTTGCTAAGCTTCTGCCTTCTGTTTGCAAGAGAACTCAGAGAATCCCAGCAGGGAACATGCCCTGTGACTTCCTCCTGGGGCTCTTACAGACCTGAATGCAGGAGTACACTGGAGGGCTCCCTCCCCTCCCCCCCCTCCCCGTGCTGCTAGGGCCATCCATCCTCCAGCTACTTTGCAGAACCAGGGGAAATTAGCACTGGGGCTTCGCAGGGGGTCTATGGGCCAGGAGGGACTCCTCCAGCTCAAGACCCTGGTATGGGGGGGGAGGGGTCGGCTGAGCTCACATGCTTATGACTGATCCTCACCCAGGGGCTTGTTAGAGCACAGGGCAGAGAAGGAGTGCAGGGGGAAGGCTGCAAGGCGGGAGTTCCCTCCCCAAGGAGGGGAAAGGCTGCCGCCGAGTGGCCATCTGGCTGGCTAGCAGGAATTACTGGGAAGGATGTGTCCACCGCCCAATTTTGTCAGCCTGCAGTTGGAAAGGTGATCCCACGGAGGGCACTCACTCAGTCCCTGGCCTAGGACATGGTGGGAGACCCTGAAGCCCAGAGCGCCTGTCTGGGGCCAGGGACCAGGAGCAGCCTCGGGGCTTGGAGCCAACACAGAATGAAACGTTATGATGATTCCTTTCCCACTGAACACATGCAGAACAAGATGTCCTCTGTAGAGTGTCAACCAACATGTCACCCCGGCAGCATTGTCTGTAGTCAGCAGATGTGGTTTTGGGCTGTCATTCAGTCCCCAATAGGTGGGGAATTGGGAGGTCAGCTTGTGTCAGAGCTAAGCTGGGGAAGATCTGGCCCCTCCCAGTGAAGTCACCCACTCCCTTTAAGAAGCAGGGGTAGTGGCACTTCCTGCTTCTGCCTTTGCCTGGAAGCTTGTATCTAGAACCAGACTTGAGTCTCATCATCCACCCACTCCAGCCCAAGCCCCTCCACCCCTTGACCTCGCGGCTTGTGGCATCCTTTTGTTAGCTTCCTTGGACTCGAGTTTGCAGGGCATCACAGGTTCTCAGTGCAAGAGGCATGGCTCAGGCCCTGGCCCTGCCATGTTCCACTTCCCTTGGCTTTTGGGCACATTATCAAGTCTTCAGTGCCTCTGGTTCCTCATTCATCACACGGAGAAGATAATAGCACCTATCTCTCACAGCTGTTACTGCGAGTGGGAAGTGCATTCATGCAAGTGCCGCACCCAGTATCGCCTCGATATAAATGCCCAGTTATTGGGCGCCTTTGCCTGCAAGGCCTACAGCTCTGCCCTAGTTCTTCAACAGCCAATCTGCAGGGACTGTGGTCCCAGCCTGAGCCCCATTTCCTGATAGAAGCTTTCGAGCCCTGGCCAGAGGAGTGAGACACCCCTGCAGCATGCTCCATTACCACCATTTGTTTGGCAAATGTCCGTTAACACCTCCTTCGTGCCAGATGCCGTGTCAAATGCTGGGCGTGGAGCACTCCACGTGTTAACAATGTCACAGAGCACTGCTGTAACAGAGCACAGGGCAGAGAACCTAAGAGCTTCTCAGCTCTTCATCCATCAGCTGCATCTTCTGTGCTGTGCATGCCCCGTGGAGTGCTGAGACCCTGTGAAAGAGCTGGCTAGACTGAACTTGATGGAACCCTGCTCCCAGTGTGGGTGTGGAGGAGGTCCCCTGAGGCCCCAGAACACTCTGCCTCTCGTTCCTGAGGCTGTGCCAGGCCTTTCAAGACTTGTGGGAGATAGTGGTTGGGGAGGGGGCTTTGGCCCTTGATCCCTAGTCCCATCACAGCCACCAGTTTTGTTCCAACCAGACTCTGGGTTTTCTTCCTTTGCAGATATTGGAGGAGCTCAAGTATTAGCATCGGGCAAGTCTGCTGGGGCAGAAATTGGTAGGTGGCTGCCCAGCTTCCTGTGAGCTGGACTCAGGGAACAGGAGGGGGGCACTCCAGAAGGCAGGGGCAGGTGGGGGTGTGCTGGGAGTGGGGCTGGCTTCCTGCCAGTCATCACAGAGCAGGGGCCGCACTCACTTCGAGACCTGCCGCGGAGCTAACACAGCTTGATCCCAAGGGTGTGGACCTGCTTGAGAGCCTCTCTTCAAAGGCCACATGAGTCATCAGGGCCACCCTTGTCTGCTCTCTGTAAGAGTGGCTCCGGTGCCCACAGCACCCTGCACTCTGCGGTGCCTCCAGGCTCTCCTTCCACCTGCACCCTCAGCTTCTCTCCACGTCAGGGGCTCACCCCAGCAGGCATGACACAGTCTGCAGACTGGGGTCTAGACATCTCCATCCCTTCTCCTCTGGGAAGGCTCCGGGCTCCCATGGCAGCCCAGGCTGCACCGTTGTTACCTGGTATTAGGGTGAGCTCCTGGGCACCCCAGCTCACTGTAGGGCCCTCAGGATGGAGTCAGATCTTTCCCTTTCCCTTCTGTGCTCACCACAGAGCAGGCGGGCAATTAGCACATACACGATTAATGAACTAATGTGAAGGTCAGTGAGGTAGGGCTATGAGAGGTGGAGAAGTGAGCCACCAGCTGCCAGGAAGTGATCCCCACAACCCAAGAAGCAGGATCTTGTTCCGAGTGGAGGGATGGAGGGGGCGCGGGCAGGGCGCCAGTGTGCCCCTGGGCTTCAGCGGATTGCAATGCAGAATTTTAGAGTGACTTTGAACGTCACCCCGGATGTGAAGGGAGCTGTAGAAGACCTCGGCAGGGTTTGACGGACGTGGGCACCCATTGTGCAATTTCTCCCTGCCCCACAGACATCAAGTACGCCGTCATCGGGGCGGCTCTAGGTGGAGCCATAGTGGCCGTCTTCCTGGCCCTGAAGGTCTGCATGATCAAGAAGCATCTGTTTGATATCGACTCCTCCAACTTGAGAAGCACAACCCCGGGCTTCAGTGGTAAGGGAGCAGTGACCCGCAGCCTGGCTGCAGCCTGCCCAGACCAGGAGACCCCCGCAGGCCCCTCTGAAACTTAGCTGGAGAAAGACGGACAAGCAGGATTGAAAAGAAACACAGCGACCTCTCTATGTCTCTGTCCCTCCCTCACCCTCCCTTCTCTCTCTCTCTCTCTCTCTCTCTCTCTCTTTCTCTGTACTTTTCCATTCCTAAGAATCAGATTTCTTGGAGAAAGGTGAGGAAGGAAGGTGAGTTGGCTTCAGCCAGAAAGATCTATTCCCGTATCCAAAAATGTGACCAGATCAAATTGATCCCAAGAGGTGACGAGGCTGAGTGCATGGCGGAGGTGTTGTAAACTCTGGTTATATGGGCTGAATTGCTTTTTTGTCATAAACCGGGCAGGTTCTACTCGGAGCGGTGCCATGTCCTCTTGGTCCAAGCAGAGCTTACATGAACCCTGTCTTGGCTCTGGGTATCCTGTAGCAACTGTAGGGAAATACAACCCACAGTCAGTTTGTGAGTTTTGATAGCAAAATACGACATTGATTTGCATCCCCTTTCTCTCAAGATGGGATGGGACTTGGCAAAACTCATTCCCAGTCCTGGAAGCCTGCTTAATGGGATAATGATGGAGCTTTCCATGAAATTTTCCTGAGGATGAGGAGGAAGGAGCCTCACTGTGTCTCTGGAAAATGTGGTTGTTATCTGCAAAGATATGCAGAAGGATAGTCTGGGGTGGGGAGGGGAGGCGTAGGCCTCAGAGCTTCCCGAGATGCCAGCATGTCCAATTATGCAAAGGGTTTAATTGGTCATGGGAGTTTGCTTACCATTATTTTCCCTACGAATAGGAGGGGAGAAGAAACAGCCTCTTCATCACACAGTGGGAGACATGCTGGATCCCTTTAGACCAAGAGGGCCCAGGAGCAGCAAGGGAAGGGGATGATGAGGAGTGATGGGGATAAGAGGGCTCCAGGGAAGGCTCAGTTCCACTTATGTGCCCAGCTAAGCGGACTCAGTGAGGGGACCTAGATGGAGAAACGCCAACAGAGCCAAAGGAGAAGGATGAAGAGCACCCACGCAAGACCACCACCCCAGTGGTCCCGACCCAGGGAGCCTCTCAGAGTTAATTGAGTCAGGTTGGGTCTGACTCGCACCTTAGCTGGCACTGAGTGGGTCACATCATGATCACAGTGTCTCCTTTCTAATGCCCTGCTTTCTCTGTGTAGACACTGTCACCCTGAAGAGGAGAGTCCCAAGGTAAGGTCACTACCGTGGTAAGTGAGGGGTATTTTTTTCCCTGCTGTTTTATTCATCGTGCTTCCTTGCCTGCCATCTGAGCTCTTCTCTCCACTCCAAAATGCTTCCTAGAAGACTAGAACACACTCTTCTCTTCTTCGGTTCAGTAGGCAGGAGTCATGAGTGGGGGGCCACAAGGCACATTAGCCAAAGGGGGCTTGAACCTGTTTCTGCATACCCTCAGTTACATTCTGCCCCACCTCCCACACAGAACCCCTAAGTACATTCCCCCCAGCACTCAGAATGAGGTCCTTAGCCCCTGCCATGACCCACTTGAGAAGCCCATATGGTCTGCTCTGGGCTACCTGACTTCCCTGCTGGCAATGAGCCATGCTGGTCTTCTGCACAAAAACTATGTCCTCTGAGGACAATCCTGCCTCAGGACCTTTGCACTTGCTGTTTTCTGTCATAGGGAATGCTCTTCTCCCAGATAGCTGCAAGCTCTGCCCTTCATTTTCTTCATATCTCTTCTTCAAGGCCACCATTTCATTGCACATGGCCTGTTTAAAATAGAAACCCTTCCCCTGATCATTATCTTCCCCTTACCTAGTTTTATTTTTCTTTATATTACTTTCCATCACTGACATTATGTGATATATTTATCTATTTCTTTTTATGGTTCCCCCCCCCCGAAGTGTAAGGTCCTTGAGGGTGGGATCTTTCTTTTCATCTTTGTAGCCCTGGCATTTAGCACTGTACCCAGAACAGAGTGGGTGCTTTTGAATGAATGAATGAATGAATGAATGGGCGATATGGCATGGAGCAGGTGCTGAGGATTAAAGGAAGACAGGCTCCCTTTCAGTCTGCAAGGGAGACAGACACATCCTGGGTGCTCATTGCACAGGATTGGGGTCAGGGGAGTGCTGTGACATAGCTAAGCCCGTGTTGCCTTGTGCCTGGGCGATGCAGAGGGGTGCATGTTCCAGCTGGGAAGCGGGTTGTCTGGAGGTGCAAGCAGCACTGCAATTGCATGTGGATGGATGGGAAGAAGTTCTCTGCGGGAAGAAAGAGAAGTGTACACAAGCAGAAGGCCCACTGATGGGTGCCCGTGTGCACATCCAGGGACCAAGCATTCCATGTAACAGGAGCAGAGGCTTCACATGAAGGTCTGCAGAGGAGGCTGGGGAGGTGGGTAGTTTTAGTCGGGGTCTTGTATGCTAAGTGAAGGAATCTGAACCCTATCCTGAAACTTCTGGTCAGTCACCGATGGATTCTAGGCAGCAGAGGGATGGAATATCTTTTATGCTGCAGTAGCATGAAGGGGGGACCCCACTGGAGACAGGCAGGCCTGCCGGGAAGATCTTAGCGGGATTCAGACCTGCTGCAAGGCCCTGCTGGAGGCGGTGGGCTCAGGACCTGGCAGCTGAGTGAAGGTGCAACCAGCAAGAGGGAGGAATCCAGAAGAGTGTATCGTCTGTGGGAGTGGGGAGGCCCCAGCGGGGGAAGTAGGTGGTGGAGCAGGTTTGGGCAATGGGCAATGGGCTGTGGGACTGAGATGGGAACTCCTTTTTTAAACACAGTGCATCTGAGGCTTCTGCAGACTTCCAAGTAGAGGGGGTGCTCATGCATGCAGACAGAGGTTGGCATGCAGACAGAGGTCTGGGCTGAGTGGGGTGGTGGGTTTTAGAAGGGGCCTGGAGCATGGACTCGCCTCCATTTCCTCCCTGGGACTCACTAAATGCTGTGGCCTGTGCATGGAAGGAGTGATGGATTTGTGAGTGAACAGAGAGATGAGACAGATGCACGGCATGCTGTCATCAGGGTGATGCCCTGGGGCTGAGCTGGAAATGGATTTTCTCCAGAAGTTCACTTCCTTGAGGATCTCCCCTCCTTCAGATGTCCTGGCTTCCAGGCCCTAGAGGGTGTTTCATCAACTCGGCCTCCAACCATTGCCCCTCTTCTTCTCTGACTCTCACTGTCTCTCTCTCTCTCTGTCCCATCCTCTCCCCCCACGCCCCCAACCCGAGCTGTTTGGCCGCCCCACGGGGGCCTGGGCTGGGGGTGAGGAGTGTGATTACGGAGACCGTTTGTTTACCTTATCATACAAATCAGGACTTCTGGAGAGTGAAGAGGCACTGCTACTAACTGTGTTAGGACGATGTGCATAAATCTGCATAGTTCTAGGAAAACTGGAGCGTGTGGTCACCCTGGGTGTAATGGGGCCATGAGGCAGTGCTCTCCAGGCCCAGGAATGGCCACACGGTTCCCTTGCTAGCAATGTCAACTCCTCTGCACCTGGGGTTCTCATGCAGGGGAGGGATGAGTGACCAGTCCCAGGAATCTTTTGGAAATGTGTGGTGGAACTGGGGACATTTGCGGACTGGGGGACCACGATACTGTGTGTCTTCTCTCATACACACACCTATACAAACACACCCTGACCCACCCTGGCTAAATTGTCACATTTGTCTTTATAGAAGAAATGTGCTAAACAGCTCTCAAGTGCCACCAAATCTGTGGGGCCACTTACAGAGAAAAGTAGAATGACAGGTTGGCTGGCCCCTCCCTTGCCCTACCCTGAGGCATCTTCTCACTGGGGCAGCTCTGCTTCTTACAATCCTTGGGGGATTGGCATGGTGCCAGGTTCCAATGAGGGTGCAGCTAGGACCCCTTGCCAGGAGGACATCCTTGTCATGGTCACCCAGGGCAGCAACCCCATGGTTCGGGGCTGGGTGCTGATTCAAGCTCTCCCACTATAGGATCAAGGCAGACAGACCTCCATCAGGGGTTCAAACAGGGCTTTGGGCTTTGGGGGTATGGGTGGCCATGGACTGAGTTCTGGGATGAGAAGGATTAGCTCCTGATGAGGGGAAAGAGGACACCTGGAAATGAATAGATAACCCCCAGGCCTGGAACCTGCATTGCCTTTTGAGGGTCCAGCTGGCCTCTGTGGTGGGGAGTACAAGATGGGCATCAGTTTTGGGTAGATGAGATCTGCGGTGGTGAAGACTCTGCTGGCACCCTGGCCTCCAGGGCCCTCTGTTGGGTGGCTGAGGTTCCCTGGGCCTGTGGCTATAGACTATTGTGGCCACAATAGCTCTGGCTATTGTGGCTAGCTGTGGCTCTGTGTCACAACTGAGTGGTCATGGTGGCTTCTCACCACTCATGGGGGAGGGCACGCTACCTTGGCTATCCAAATTGCCTGCATGCATAGAGGGGCACTTTGAGTTAGATAGAGTACTTTGCCTTGGGAACTCCAGTGCCCCCCTGGAAGTCTCTGCAGATCCTGTTTCAGAGATATCTTAATTGTGGAATTCACAAAAATGGAAGTTTTGACAATTCCAATTTCCAATCCTGGTGCATGTGTACATGCTTGTGGGGAGTAGAGGGATGGAGATGCTGTGATGGTTCATAGCAACCCACAAGTGTGTGTGTGTGTGTGTGTGTGTGTGTGTGTGTGTGTACGTGTGAAGATGCTGCTGTGTGCAGTACAACAGACCACTTTAAAAACATGTTTAAGCAACAGTAGCTGTAGCTTTATGTTCTCATGGACAATCATACCAGCACATGATCCAGTTTTTTGTGTGTTTGGAAGTTCTGAATTCTTTGAAGCATCAGAGCTAGAGGAGGCAGTTTCCATTGTCCATCCGGATGAGGTGGCTGCGGTGGTTACTCACAGACAACACTGGTGAAAGTGAAGTCCTGAAAAGGGAACAAGCAGGGGGCAGGAGAAAAGCAGGTGGCTGGAGGGAAGGAAGGAACGATGCAGCGCAGGGGTGTGGCGGGTAGCTGGATGGGACCCTTCCCCACCTCCCCTGCCCAGGGATGTAGCCCTCCTACCACGTTAGAGGAGCCCTTCTTGGCATGTATCACACCAGCGCTCCTCCACAAACGGATTGCTAAGAAGGGAGGCACAGTTCAAGTTTCCAAAGCTAACACTAGATGGAGTCAGGCTGAGTCAGGAAGAAGTTAGACTGAAAAGAAAAAATCTAAGAATTGGCAAGCTGTTCTCCTAGAGCAAAACTTCTCGTGTGCTTTTTGTCATAGGGAATGATTTAATGAACATCCGATTCTTCTGTTTTGCAGGTCAAAGCTCCATTTCTCCGAAAGGTGAGTTGTAAGAGCAATCACTCCTTTTGAGACGGAGAGTCAGTGGCTCCCCCGAGGTGGCCCCCACACAGGATGGGAGGGGATTGCTAGCCACCAGCCAGGACTCCTCAAGCCTCAGCTGGGACACCAGGAATCCACGTCTTTTTGTTTTTTTTTTTTCCCTTCCAGAAAGTCTTAATTTAGTAGCACTTCAGGGAGATTTAAAATGGAGCTGTGGGAGCTTCTTTGCCTGATTAGAGCTGAGAAGATGGGATTTTAGAAGCAGGATAGTTCACTTTCTTTTACTTGCCAAATTTTTCCCTTGAAAGGTCATCAAACTGTGAACTCGCCAACTTAATCCACATGATGAAAAAAAAAAAATTCCAAGACTTTTGTGTCATCAAGCTATCAATTTGACTGAAGTCTCTGTTTCCCTTGTTGCTTTTGGGTCTCACAGTGAGGCCTGCGTATACAGGATTGGTCACGGTTCACATTCCCTTGACCACTGGTCTCCACCTCATGCATCACCCAAGTGCTCTCACCTTCCTTCTTTTTGAAAACTCTTCAAATCCACGGAAGAATTGAAAGAATAGTGCAAAATAATAATAATAATAATAATACATCTTTCGCCCAGATACACCAAGTTAATATTTCCCCCCATTTGCTTTATTCTGTATACATACATTTTTTTCTGATCCACTTAAAAATTAGTAGCAATATCACCCCTAAGTTAGTAGAGATATTTCACCCCTAAATATATAACCAGATGTCTCCAGCATAATCATAATGTGGTGACTACATCTAAGAAAATGACCAGTAATTCAGTAATATCATTTATTACACAGCCCATATTCAAATCTGATTATGTTTTAAACATATCTTTATAGCTCCAGTCTTCCAAACCCAGATCCATGGGGTTTGTCTCTGTTCTGTCTCTTTTTGTGTTGGACAACTTCTCTGTCTTCTTTCCCCGTGGCATTGTCAATTTCAAAGTCCATTTGTATGATGTCATCTTCTGGACTGGTCTGATTGTTTCTTCCTGAGTAGATGCAGGTTGGGACTTTTTGCAAGAACACCATGGGAGTGACATTGTGTGTACAATAGAAATATTGTACTGCATCAGGAAGCACAGGACACCAGGATCTCTCACTGTGGGTAATTCTACCCTGATTAAGGAAGTGACCACTAGATCTCTGCTTTGGGGAGACAAATTTTCCTCTTCCTAATTAGCTGATAATCTGAAGGGTGATACTTTGAGACCACGTGAACATCCTGACCTCCAGTGATTCTTCACCCAATGATTTTGCATCTGTTCGCAATCCATGTTTGAATCAGTTATTGCATTGGGGGTTACAAATACTGAGTTTCATTTCTAATGCTAGCATCCCTTCTGCATTTAATAGCTGGCATTCTTCTGGAAAAAAAGACTTTTTCCTTCCCCCTTTTCTCTTTCTCTCACTTGTTGAAATAAACAACATATTACAATTCATCACCATCATGGATCTTTGTGATACTCAAATTGTCCCCGGTTCGTCCAGAACCAGTCACTTCTTGGTGGCTTTTGAGCATTTCCTAGATTTCTTTTTTCCCCAATTCTTAAGACTTTTGACACAACACGGTATCCAGGCTCATCTTGTACTGTCCCTGCTCAGACTTGGAATCACCCATGTACCCCTTAGATCCTTGTTTTTTCTTTTTTAAAAATGTGTTTTCTTTCTTTTTCTTTCTTTCTTTCTTTCTTTCTTTCTTTCTTTCTTTCTTTCTTTCTTCTTTCTTTTTCTTTCTCTCTTTCTTTCTTTCTTCTTTTTAAATATTTTATTTATTTATTCATGAGACACACACACACAGAGAGAGAGAGAGAGAGAGAGAGAAGCAGAGACACAGGCAGAGGGAGAAGCAGGCTCCACCCCGGGAGCCCAATGTGGGACTCAATCCCAGGACCCTGGGATCACTCCCTGAGCCAAAGACAGATGCTCAACCACTGACCCACCCAGGTGCTCCCTTTTTTCTTTCTTGATGTGGAATAGTTTTTAGAAGACAAGATCTGGACACAATGTGTGCTCATGGCTCCTGAGACATCACTGCTTCTAGGGCCTGAGAGGCCAGGACTGAATCAGTAAATGTATATTTAAACCACAAATTTAATACCATAAGGCTCTTCTTAAGCTTTCTTCACTCCATATTTGTTTTGCCGCCTCCAAAGTCAAAACCCTGTTCTATATAAATATTTTTACCCTTTTGCTCTATTCTCTAATATTACACAAAATACTTCCATAATCACAACACTCTGCAACTACAAACTTGCTTAGTAGCTTGAAATTTTCTTTTTTTTCTGAGAATTTAGCTTTTGTGTGTACCAAGTATTATATTCAAATTGAATTAGTTATTTTCTCTGTGATTATGCTCTCAATTTGATATAGGATTGGTATCCATGTGTATGCTATTTTAATGCTCCCTTTCGGGCAGCCCAGGTGGCTCAGCGGTTTAGCGCCGCCTTCAGCCCAGGGTGTGATCCTGGAGACCCGGCCCACGTCAGGCTCCCTGCTTGGAGCCTGCTTCTCCCTCTGCCTGTGTCTCTGCCTCCCTCTCTCTCTGTGTGTCTCTCATCAATAAATAAATAAAATCTTTTTAAAAAAAAATTAATGCTCTCTTTCTTAATTCTTTTAGTTTAATTCTATTTTTTTTTGAGTTGTGAAACATGTAGATTAAAATGTAAACAGGTAAACTCAGAGAAGTCTCATTCCCGTACCTGCCCACTCTATTCTGTCCCCACCCACTGTGTGGAGATCACTATTTTCAAGAGTCTTTGCTTTATCTTCCTGTGTTCCTTTTACACAAATGTATCTAATTAAAATTATATATATACAATTTCCATAAAATTAAAAATGTTTACATATGGATATATATAATATATATATATAATATATATATATATTCTAGTTCTTGAAAAGTTTTATTGTTTGGATCTCTGATCCATTTAACATTTATTGTGGTGTGTAGTATGACATATGGATCCAATTTAATCTTTATCCCAAATGGCAATCTATTTCAGTATCAGAATTGAAAATATTATTTTCCCCAGTTTTATTTTCAGTCTTTGTTGTATTCTAAATTCCCATGTGTACTTGGGCTATTTCTGGACTTTATATTATTTTCCATCATATTTTTGAGTATTCTTGTGCTAGTACCACACTCTTACTTCTACAGACTTCATGGTTCACTCTGCCATCTGGCACACTCCCATTGTGCTTCCTATTCAAGAGCACATTCTTGCTATTCTCTTCTAGCTATCTTGCATATTTGTTTTTCCGTATGAGCTTCAGAACCAACTCCAGAATCTATTCATGGAGCAAACACCTTTGTATTTTTGTTGGGGTTGCATTACATTCATGTGTTAGACTGAGGATGACTGACTTCATTATGATGTTTTTGCAAGGCTGTGTTTATGTGTCTTAAGGAGTTTTTGGCTTGACCTTATGGGTTTTTCACACTTCTTTTTAAGCTTATTCCTAAGTATTTTTCTGTTCTTGTTGCTTTTAAGAATGGAGTTTCCCATTATGTCTCTTACTTGGTCATTGACTGCTTATGGATTATTTTTGTATGTTAATTGTATAGTGATGGCCTTACTGAATGGTCTTATTGTGTGTGTTTTCTGCTTGATTTCCTTGGGTTTTCATAATATTATGTCATCTGCCAAATTGTAGATTGCTTTTCCCAGTTCTTATGACTCTAATTGTTTTCTCCTCTCTGATTGCATTGGCTAAAACCACTAATATTAAATAGTAGTGGAAACAGTGCAGATACAATCTTCAAAAGTCTTTTTCTCTTTCTCTTGACACCCAGGCCAGGTCTGCAACCTGATTCACCTGCTAGTCCAGCTGGCAGCTACTATCCCAGCCTCTGCCTAGCTTATCTTTTCTTGCATGTTATGCCTGTCTCTCTAGGGACTGGTGGCACATCTGTATGCAGGGGAGTGACTGCTCTGTAAGAGAATGACTTCTTCCAGGGAGTAAGTCATAGGTGCCACTTCTCCAGCTCAGGACCATCAAGAATAGGAGGAGGCTGCCTTTCTGGTTTTTCCATCTTCTGCAAACATCAGTATTTCAAGAGCAAATGCTGCATAGGCCCAGCCACTTTGGATCCTGTTCTTAATAACCCCTGAAAGGGTCCTTTGAATTCAGGACTTGTTAAAGATAATATAAGATATGAACTTTTTTTTTTTGAGCCCCTGCTCCTCTAGACCATCCAACTTAAACTCTGATTTTTGGACCCACCATGTTTTAAAGGAGAAGCACAAACATCTGACAGCCTTTAGACTCTCTTGCAATCCCTTCAGACTCCTGTCACTATCCTTGCTTTTTTCCAACTTGCTTATCTTCCATGCTGGCTCTGCTGCCATCAAGCTCTGTAACTCCAATCTCAATGTGCGTCCTTGGTCCTCCATACATCGGGTAGGTAGGTGCTATCTCTTTTATGGCATTTGGCTTGGCTTATCCCACTGATGCTTCACTCTGCCCCATCTTTATGCTGTTACTGTCCCTTCTCCCATGTTAGATATCCAGACACTGAGATCAAGCATGCACAATTGGATGGCATAAACAAATATGCAACATTCAGTGTAAACATAGATATGCAATTCTGTTAAAATTATAACTGTTATGAGAAACTATAGTGAGATGTTGGTGTGAATTCAGTCTCTGTGCATAGGTGGGTTGGTGAGGCCTTTAGTTGAAAGTGTCCACAGCAGGCGCTGTTCCCTACTTTATTGAGCTCTACTATATTGGGGTCTGGTTTGGTGACCTCATCTTTTCTTCTGTGCTACTAATTTTAGGTAGATACAGAGATAGAGCTAGATATGCCATGTGTGGACAAGTCTCTTCTTCTGGAATAGCACAAGTTTAGACTTGAATGTACCTAGTTTCTAGTTACTTTTGCAAAGGTCCATCTACCTTGTTACCTGTAGCATCTTCTTAGATGGGTGCAATCTCTTCAAGTACATAAAGTGGCATTTTCCTGCTGATGTGCCTTTTAACCTTGGGGTTAAACCCCCCTTTTGGCCACTAGGGTGGGTGAGGTTTTGTGGCTTGAGATTGGCAGGCAGAAAAGAACCTCTCAGTTGGGCTCTATCTGAAAAACTCTCCCTTTAACCTAGAAGCCACTGGCCTTCACACACTTTCTATACTGCATGGGGAAATGTCTCACCTTGCTGAAATAAGCTAATGAATTCTTTCATACCTACTAGTGTGTGCTGCTCACTATTAAGCCTATAAGTATACGCCATGATTAGTTAGAGCATAATCACTCTGTCTTTAGGTCTTCCTGATGGTTCTCTTCCTTTCCAGAGGTGCAGAAGTGATTGAGCTCTAAATAAGTGACCTCTTCAGGAGAGGCTGGGCAGTCTGGGACAATTTCCCACAGTTTCAGTCTCAGGGATGTCATGAATTTGAACTTCCAAAGATGGACCTTCATGTGGAGCTCAATGCTCAGAGCAAGTAATATATGGAATGAAGTCTACAGTGTTTCTGTCCTAAAGGAAAATATCAATTCTCTTCCACAAGAAGCTGACTACATAGATGGAGGCACAAGCACTTTATCCTGCAGTAAGAAAGGATGGAAGCCAATAAATCCACAGTCTATCCTGGTCCTCCATAGTGGAGCTGTTTATGATTCTATGGTAGCATTGTATCCATATCAATGGAACCTACCCATAGCAAATGGCTCATGGAATGGAGATGAAAGTCAAGACACAACCTCCTTAACACTATTGTCTATCAACAGGTAAGCATCATTTTCTAGAACTGATGGCCTCACCTCCTCTGTTGCCATAAGAATTCCCCTGAGAATATTCAGGATTCTTGAGACATGAAGACTATGGGATAGTTTCCAGGCTTATGAATGAAAGACTAACTTCCCACAGGAAGAAATGGAGGGCTGGGCCGGAGAGGAAGGGGTCTCAGTGGCCACAGAATGGCTTGCAGCTCTGCAAATGATGGAACCAATGAAGGATTAATTGAAAAAGCCAATGATGTGCCAATGGTAGGGATCTACACAAATGTAAGGGATTACTGTTATATTTTTACCATAGTTTTATGGTTATTGGTACAAATGTGAATGGCTTTTGTGTGGAGGACATGACTGGAAGAGGCTTAGGAAACCCCTATCTTTTTATTATTGTCATCAACCTAAGGCTGTGTGGCACACACCCTGTTAACATTTCTCTCCCCTATACTATTAACCCTGTATTTCTGGGGCTGCATTATGGAATACTCTTTGCCTTTCCAATTAAACAGAAATCCAGGTGATTGTGTGGGCTGGTTCTTTTTGGATTGGGTTATTCTCCTTGTGTGTGATGAAAGATGAGCAATATTTCAAAACAAAGTGCTGTGTTATAATAATTTGCCTGGATTCCCAGGGTGTCTTTTATCTGACTTGATAACAACGTAGTTCATTAGAAGCCTTTGTTAGCTGATAACCTAAAGCGGTAACATGATACTCATAAGCAATTTTCTGTGTATAAGATAGAATAAACCATCTTGTAAGGTATCTGTTAATTGATTTGCTTCTTTTAGCAGCATTTTAATTAAGACTTCTGGTTTCTGAATGGCAAAGGCACATACAAACTGAAGGTGAATGCCTCAGGATTCTCAGTAATCATTTTCTATAGATACAACAAAACCATGGAGTCCTCTCCTCCATCCCACATCACAATATATTTTCCTAGCACTGTTCCTGGGTTCTGTTTTAGGTTTTGTTTTAGCCTCACACAGAGTTTCCTGGGTGAAGAACAAAGAAATATGCTGAAGCCAATGTTCTCTCCTTGGGTTATAAAGTCTGACATGCCCTGGGAGATGGCATATAATGGGTCCCTTTGGCTTCCACCCCAAATTCAAGGTCAGTGGCTTCCTTCTGTGGAAGTCCAACTGGAAGCTCTCTGATGCCCCTCTCTACAGATATTCTCCCTGGTAGCAGTTCCTGGGGATGGAAGTTCCAATAGGCAAGAGCACTTGGAAGTGTTTGGAGACAGCCACAAGAGGTCACTGTGTGTGTAAATGCAGTGTCATGAGTGAGGGCCATTCTGACTGCCTCGCCCAGTGGTTTGGGAGTATGGTAGCAGAGGCCGAGGGTTAGAGAAGCTCCTGTCTTCCCAGCCTAGTAGGCCCTGGGGCCCCTGGAACACATGCAGGTCCTGAACAGCCCAACTTGGCAGGCCGAACACCCAGCCCAGTGGGGCAGCAGGGGGACCAATGATCCTCAAACACTTGAAGGAAGAGCCATCCCTACATGGATGGGGCAGCCAGCAGCCAGTGGCAGCCAGCCAGGGTCCATGGGCATATCTGTGGTTTCTACCTCCAGGACTTGGTACCCACAGGAGGAGAAGGTCAGATGGGAGAGGTATAACTGGCAAGATCAACAAATAAAAAATGAGCATCAATTTCTATGTCTATAAGTGTAAAATATATTTACATTGAACCTATGAATTAAAATCAATACATAAAAAGCAAATGCAGGGGATCCCTGGGTGGCGCAGCGGTTTGGCGCCTGCCTTTGGCCCAGGGTGCGATCCTGGAGACCCGGGATCGAATCCCACGTCGGGCTTCCGGTGCATGGAGCCTGCTTCTCCCTCTGCCTGTGTCTCTGCCTCTCTCTCTCTCTGTGTGACTATCATAAATAAATAAAAATTAAAAAAAAATTTAAAAAGCAAATGCATATGTGTCTATATATTCTTTTATGTGTGTTTTAAGGTATACATACCATAGAATTTTAAGAAATAAATGGGGATTTGAATAAGTTGATGAATGATAAGCCTTTTCATCATCCAAGTGTGGAAATAGCTGAGAGTAGACAAACAAGCAGATGGAGATTAAAATATGAGAATTATTGTGATTTCAAATAAGTCATGTCAATATCACTCTGGGGTCCCAAGAGCGCTGCTTGGTATCCTCGCCCCAGTCCAAGTAAGAGGTAAGTGTGGCTTGGGCTAGGGTGCTGGCAGCGAGGATGCAGAGGGTAGATGTGTTGGGATGGGGATTGGAGGCGAAGATGTCAAGAATTACTGGTGGGTAGATTTGATCAAGAAGGAGAATGTGACTCAGCATCGCTCCTAAAGTTTGGTGCCTTTGAGTAGAATGTGGAGGACCTGGAGAGTGCTAGCCTCGGGCAGGCTCTGCAGCTGGTCTTTGGTCTCCTGTGTCAAGCATTAGGGCACCGAAGGGTGGGATACATTTAGGGAGAGTGAACCCCACATGCTTGCAAGTGTTTATGCTTGGGTACTGGGATTAAAAACACATGTGTTGGAGATTGCTCCAGAATATGCTCCGGGATCCTGGGGGGAAAGTAGGGGAGGGTAAGCCTGGAGGAGTCCTAGGCTTTTTTCTGTGAGATAGAGTGTACATGGGGTTGCTCAGTCAAATGGGGGTTGAGAGGAGCAGAGCCTGAAGATACAAGCCCATGGTGCCTGTGACATGACGTCTAAAAGGGGCCAGGTCTGGGCTGTGCTCAGGGCCCATTCTGTTGACTGGTTCTTTTCCCTCTGAGTCATTTGTCATCATCTCAGACTTGTCAGATAAATTAATCATCCATCAAAGGATAGGATTTTTCACATGTACGTTATCACTGGATGACAAGTGAGTGGTACATCTCTACACAGAGAGTGGGGCAGTTGCTCAGGCCTCCTACATTCCAGCCTCACTTATCAGCATATCTTGCATCTTAGTGTTCATGGTACTGGAGTTTCCACTGACTTATGATTTTCTCATCATTTGTGATCCTCTCTCTGTGCAGTTTAGGTACATGATGGAGTTTGTAGGCTCTGTAGCCAAATGTTGTTTTGTGAATTGGACAAACTGTTTAACTTTGCTATGCCTCGGTTTCCCCATCTGTAAAAATGGGCTAATAGTTGTACTTATCTAATAGGATCTTTGTCATCACTAAATGAAGTAACATATGTAAAGCTCTTAGAACACTGACATGTAGTCTGCACTCAGCAAACACATTTGGTCACATTTTACTCATTATAAAATTCAGAGAAGGTGAGATTAGGGAAGTTTTCATTTTTAGATATTCGTTTCTTTATGTATATATTTGAATCACGTTTTATTTTAGAACAGTTTTAGATTGTCCTTAAAGTTGTGAGGGGATTTCACAGAGTTCACCTATGCCCCACACCCAGCTTCCTTAGATATTAATAAATATCTTACATTAGTATGGTTTATTTGTCACAATTAATGAGCCAATTTGATTACAACACTACCTAAAGTCCTTTATTTGTATTTTCTTAGTTTTTTTTTTTTTTGAATTTTCTTAGTTTTTACCTAATATCCCTTTTCTGTACTAGGACCCCATCCAGGACGCCACATGACATTTAGTTATTGTGCTCCCTTAGGCTTATCTTGGTTGTGATGACCTCTCAGACTTTCCTTGACAGTTTTTTTTTTTTTTAATTTATTCATGATAGTCACACAGAGAGAGAGAGAGAGGCAGAGACATAGGCAGAGGGAGAAGCAGGCTCCATGCACCGGGAGCCCGACGTGGGACTCGATCCCGGGTCTCCAGGATCGCGGCCCCGGCCAAAGGCAGGCTCCAAACCACGGCGCCACCCAGGGATCCTTCCTTGACAGTTTTGAGGAGCACTGGTCAGGGGTTTTGCAGACTGTTCCTCAACTGATAGTTTCATGTTTTTCTCATGAAAATAAATTTCTTTTAAGCTAATTTTAACATAAAAATGTTTATAATCATACAATAAACTAAGTGTTCCTAATATTTACCATTGTTCATATATAGTTAGCCAGATGGCTGACAAATATCACTGAAGGGCAGCCTGAGTGGCTCAGCGGTTTATTATTTATTTATTTATTTATTTATTTATTTATTTATTTATTTATTTTTAAGATTTTATTTATTTATTCATGACAGAGAGAGAGAGAGAGGCAGAGACACAGGCAGAGGGAGAAGCAGGCTCCATACAGGGAGCCCGACTGGGACTCGATCCTGGGTCTCCAGGATCAGGCCCTGGGCCGAAGGCAATGCTAAACCGCTGAGCCGGGGCAGCCCCGGTTCAGCGGTTTAGTGCCACCTTCGGCCCAGGGCTGATCCTGGGGACCCGAGATCAAGTCCCATGTCAGACTCCTTTCGTGGAGCCTGCTTTTCCCTCTGCCTGTGTCTCTGCCTTTCTGTCTCTCTGTTTCTCATGAATAAATAAATAAAATCTTAAAAAAAATCTCACTTAATCTTAAACTGGTAGGTTCAGTAAAAAGGAAAACTTTTCTTTTTAAAATAAAACAAAGCTGGTGTTTCTAGTTAGTATGAGGCTGCTCAGTTTAGCATCTCATAACCATTCTGCATGTTAGACCAGCAGTAGAGACCATGAGAATACTTGGGCTCCTGTTTGGGGCAAGTGTAGATCTGACTCCACTGTCCTCCCATACCGAAGAAAGGATGAGCCCACCTTTGCTCATTCTGTGGACAAGCAGGAACCCTTAGTATTGTGGCCTGAGCTCTCCAGAAATGTTGTTCAGAGCTGCCCATTATTTTTCCTATCAAAAACAAAGACCCATAAAGAAGCCATACATTGTGGTTTGGTTTTTTTTGTCCATTCCTGAGTTTATTTTACTTTATTTAAAGATTTTATTTATTTATTCATGAGAGACAGAGAAAACGATAGAGAGGCAGAGACACAGGCAGGGGGAAAAGCAGGCTCCATGCAGGAAGCCTGACATGGGACTTGATCCTGGGTCTCTGGGATCTTGCCCTGGGCTGAAGGCAGCACTAAACTGCTGAGCCACTGGGGCTATCCCCATTCCTGAGTTTAAATCAGAAGGTGGTTCTTACGCACTGGCAGCAAATTGTGAGTCAAGCACAACTGCTGACCAAAAAAGAATTAAAAGGATGTCTAAGGATTACCCCTAACATGTTCAGATGGGGCATTTACGGCAGGCTGCAAGGGCTCTGCTCTCTGTCACCAGTAGACTCACTCCAAGGGGAGATATTGTGTGGCCTCAACCACATCATCCAGAAGGTACTACCTGCTGCTACTGTAGCTGACCCACCTCTCCTTCCATCAGCCTTCTGGAGGGAGTTGGGTTGGGTTAATGACTCTTAACACCTCTGGCAGAACTTGGTCTAGGTTCAAATCACCAAGGATTGAAATTATGCATTTTACATTTAATGACCCCAGTGACATATTTTTAAAAATTTTAAATGCTAGTACAAAAAAATTTCTAAGCTTGGAAATCTTAAAATACTTTGAAAAACAACTCTTAAGGGATTCTGAAGCTGGGTATGATAGAGTAGTGTATCATTCTAACTCTCCTACCAATAGCTATGATAAATTTAGTACAAAATACAGTAAGACAACTATTTGAGGTACTGATGAGCCACTCAAGGCAGGCATAAGTCAGAGGGCAATTGACTCTTGAAAGAAGAGAAGTGGGTGAGTTCACATTTATTTGGCTCTACCCTTGAAGACACATCCAGTTTACATTGTACACAGAGTGTTTAAGTAGAGAGTGGCTATCTCATTAGGCCTGGAAGACAGAGGGTTGGGGTCATAGAAATCATAGTGGCAAGAAGTTTTGGGAAACAACTCTAGAAAGAAAGCATTCTTAGAGGGGGATACCCAAAATCTGCTTTAGAATTCCCCTTAAATTCTTGACTAGCTTC